AAAAACATTTAAAAAAAAAAAAAAAAAAAACCTGAGGAAATAGAAGCAAATGTTGAATGATGATGCATGGAGGGGATTGTAGTCATTGCAATAAAACAAAATACTACAGGATGAATGTAAAGCTGATGTTCTACCATGTAAACTATCATCCAATTCACAATAAAAACTTTTAAAAAAATTTACTGATCTTGAGGTGCTATTTCCAGACCATCTGGAAATCAAACTGCATTATAATTTCATAATAACAAATAATTGCTTATCCAAATGAGTTAATATATAGATCATGCTTATATAGCTGCATATTTCAATAATTCTAAGATTATGGGAGTCTTTCTTGTATTTGATAACATGTATGTCTTTGATAGTATTTGTTGTTAATTATTATAAAAAGCAAATTTTATTGAGATTGAACAGAATTTAAAAATGTCAAGTAACTAGGCAAAGTGAAGTAAAGATTTGTAATGAAACTTGGAGGGAAAGACAGGAGACTAGTTGAAAACATATCAGAGCCTTTAAGGGAAAATTCTTCCCCCTTTTAGGAAGAAATAACCTATCATACCATCTAGAGTATTACTGGAGACAAAGCAAGATAGTCTTTGATGGAGAGTAATTGCAAGGAGGTCTACATTAAGAAGTACTATAATTGATATGTCATGTGACAGATGGTTTTGGGAGTGGATTGGTTTATTAGATGAAAAATAAACATGTCTGTAAGAGTGAAGATCCCACAATAGAAAGAGATCAAAATCCACTATTGTGTGGTAAAAACATGGCTGCTAATCCAAAGGTTAGCAGTTCAAACCCACTAAATGACCCAGCTTTCTAGTCAATTCCTGGGAAAAAAACATGGCAATCCACCTTGGACACCCTCTGGGGCACTTATGCTCTGTCTCATAATTGACTTAAAATTGACTGAAAGGCAACACATTTGTGTTTATATTTTTAAAGGTCTACAGTAGCCGAATATCTGTGGAGAATTAAATTTACGAGGCAATTCTGCATCCAAAAGGAAATAATAATTGAAGCTGAGGTTTTGATATAGGTTAGAATTAAAAGCTGTAAATTCTCATGCCCGATATTATCTTGAGTTTCCTTCCATGTGAAAAGAAGAGAAATCATTTATTGACATTATTGTTGTTAAATGCCATGGAGTCCGTTCCGACTCATAGTCAGCCTGTGACTGTAAATCGTTACTGGAGGAGAACGCTTCATCTTTCTCCCGCGGAACTGCTGGTAGCTTTGAACTGCTGACCTTGAGATTGGCAGTGCGACTCGTAACCACTAAGCTACCAGAGCTCCTTATTGAGATTGTTGTTGTTCTTATCAGTCGTCGAGTCAACACTGACTCATAGCAAACTTACGCACAGCAGAACGAAACAATGTCTGATCCTGGGCCAACCTCAAAAGTGTTGCCACACTTTAGTCCATCGATGCTGCCACTTGGCCAATCCGCCTAATGGGGGGTCTTCGTATTTTTCTCTGACCCTCCATCTTACCAAACAAGATATCCTCTCCAGAGATTGTTCCCTCCTGACAATATGTCCAAAGTATGAGAGACAAAGTTTGGCTATCTTGGCTTCTAAGGTGCACTCTGGCTGTACTTCTTCCAAAACAGATCTATTGGTTCTTTTGGCAGCCCACGACACTTTTAGTATTCTCCTCCACCACCATAATTCGAAGACATCAATTCTTTTACGGTCTTCATTATTCACTGTTCAGCTTTTGCATGCATATGAGGTTATTGAAAATACCATGGCTTGAGTCCGGCGTACCTTAGTCCTCAAGCTGATGTCTTTGCTCTTCAAAACTTTAAAAAAAGATCTTGTGCAGCATATTTGCCTAATGCAATAAGTCGTCTGATTTCTTGACTGCTGCTTCCGTGAAAGTTGAGAGTTGATCCAAGAAGAATGAAGTCCTTGACAACTTCAATCTTTTCTC